AAGGTTGAAAACCGAGTGGATTGCATCAAAACAGGCGCCCCTGGATCTTTTATGGTTTCTACCTGGGCTAGATGTAGCGTGTGGTGCAATGTTAGTATGATGGTATGATGCTGACATGATGGTAAAGATTTGCTTCAGTGAGCAAACGATAGGCGTTATGCACGCAATGTGAACCAGTTGATGAAGGAATGATGGCAATGAGTTTACGGTGAAAATCCCGTTAATGGGAAGGAACATAACATACCTGTATTGTAGAGGAACCATGCTGTCACATTGTGGCTTTGAAGCCAATACTCCATTTACAGTTTGTATGTGCCGGGCATGCATTGGTCCTGCACCATGACTGTATTGTCGAAGCGTAGATCTCAGTCCATCATATAGTTCATGTACAGCTGGTCTCCTGCCCTTAGTCCATGCACATACCACCATCAGCAATCGTGTGGCTGCGCTTCTATTGTTCCTGAGGTGGTGTTGGAAAGGACAGATCCGATTCCTGTTATTACCATTGCCCAAAGGCTGGAGGCCCTAGGGGGCGTTCACATCATGTCCGACGTGGAGCATGCAAACCGGACGCAGGCAGACGCTCTGCTTCGCCAGGCCAAGGAATCTCAGAAAACGTCAGCGGCGACCGGAGCGAACACCATCAACTTCCTGCAATCTCTGGCCGTGATCCGCGGGGATGGAGGGAGTGCCAGGAAACGTGGCTTGGTGCTTCAAGAGTTGTAATTTTTTTTGAAGTTGTGCCAGGGTTGTTTTGAGTTCAGTGCAATATCAGTGAACATCTAGGCTTGGCATATGAAGGTCCCCAGACTCAGCCAGTGGCAAACCACGATTCAACCGCGGGCTAACCCTGATCTAAGCAGGAAAGTAGCATGTATGAACCATATGAATGTACCATTAAGAAACCTCCGTGCCCTTATCATTGACCTACCATTCACCAGTTGTTGCATTGATCGGAGAATCATCATACTCAATGTTTATTGGTTGGTGACTATTGATCAGCCATGTGCATGGGTTTTAGCGTTTGTGAAGGCCAGCGGTTTACTGATGATTGTGTTCAGCTGGCGAAGAGCGCGCAACGCGTTAGCACGGATGGCTTGCGTTGGGTTGATCAAGACCTGGCCAGCACGGCGGACGGCGACGAGGACGAGGACGACCAGCCGTAGCGATGCAAGTCTTGGGATTGTGGTATATAATTGTGCGCCGTGGGAGACATACAGAGTCACACCCGGCAGCTCCATGGGGACACGAGACAGTTGAATTTACCCCTTTTTTGTGTATTCAAGAAGCTGGATCGCCAAGACAGAGTGACCAGCTGTGCTTTTGTGACAAGGGCTATGCAGCGTGGCAACTGCGCACCCTATGATACATACAGAGTCATTTGTGGAAGTGCAGTGGAGACACGAGACGCTGGCCCCGGAGGCGCGAGAAAAAATTGTTTGTCACGCACACTGTTTGCTGTGCGATGGATCGCTTCATGAGAGCTGTTTCTGGTGCTTGAGCAAGTCAAGTACCTGGAAAAAAAATTGTTGGTTTTTGTAGCGGCTTGTAGCGAACACGGATTGTTTGGAACCCGATGGCAAGAACATGGGAAGGCTAATTGCTGAGCATGAAGGAGTCTGGGAGGTGAGAAAGGAAAACGCCACAGGTGACCAGCAGAAACATACCGATATATATATATATAACTAGAAATAAATATTCACTACACATTATTCTATCAGTTGTAATTGCCCGGTGTCTACAAAAGGCGTGTGTCCTTCCAAGTGCCCTATGCGAGGGTGTTAGGATCGGTTCTTTTTCCCAGCCACCTGCGTTGCCATTGGTGCTTGGCGAAACCTCATCCGGCTCTTGCGACAGTCGTTGTTCAACACCGTGACCAAGAAGAAGATCGCTGTGAGGAAGCCAAGATCCGGCGAGGAATCTGTGAACGCAGGCATGTTAGCGCGTTTAAACATTTTGGTCTACGCTACCATACCCAAAGCAAGCATAGTCAGGTTTTGGAAGATTATGCTTTTCTACCAGGTGGGCTATGTAAGTTTTGGGGGAGGGCAGGTTGTTCAGTACAACCGATTCGGATGGTTGTGGAGTCCTTGGATTGGTCGCGATAGGTGACCATAGCACATTTGGGTCCCTCATTTACTGATTGCCGAAGAGCTCACTTCGGAGTCTTTTCAAGCCAGCGGCCAGAGGGATGAATTGGTTTGAACATTTTTGAAGAATAGTTGTACATGACATGCATTTGGCTCAGGGAAAACAACACCATGAGTTGAGATGCTTTTCCTTTGCAGCTGCTCAGATAAACCGCACCCAACACCTCCAAATTCCCTCTCAACTGTCCTGATTCAACTAGACCACCAAGAGGTCACTCTCCAAGTGCACTTGATTTGCATGTCTCGATCGGCAACGATCGGCGCCAGATTTTGCAATGCGTTCTCCAAGCCAGGTGTTGCGTGGAACGGTGCAACACATAGTTTTGATGTGTGGCTCTAAGCCAAAAGATGGAGCGTGAACTCCGCTACCAAGTCTGTGCTGACCAGGAAAAACGGCTCAATCTGTTGCTGCTGCTGCTGCTGTTGCTGCAGTTAGTAGTTAAACTAGCTAGCGTACAGGGTGCAGCTCGGTGCTTGTTGGGTTCTGATCTGAGTTTCCTATTTGTCAATGAGATGATTGCATCGCAGTTACTTTGCTACTAGGCCCGAAGTGGAACCCAGGCTGCGGTCGTTTGTCAACCGACAAGCTCATGCCGTTGGCAGACGTGACAGCACTTAGTGATGAGGAGGTGGGGGGAACGTCTGGCGCTCCTGCCAAACCTGCTCCGGGGCCAGTGCCAGAGGTTTCGGAGTCAACGCCTAAGGCAAAGGCCACACCGAAAGGCAAGGCTAAAGCTAAGGCCAAGGTGTTGCCCCGCAAGCGACCAGCGGCCTCTGCTGCATCTCACACTCAGGAAGGTGAGGGCACGGCGGAGCCACCTGCCGACTCAGAACCGCCCGTCATGAAGAAGCCGGCCCGAGGTGATGGGCGTGGTCCTGGTGGTGGTGGTGGGCCTACTACTACGTTCAAGGCAGTGAAGTACCTGTACCACAAAGAAGGGAAGTGGGGCATCAAGCAGAATGGAAAAGAGATGACCACGGTGGCGGGTCAATGTTTCAGTTTTATGGTTTCTGAGTGAAACACGTTTGTACTATGCCTTTTGTGGTTCATTTCGGGGCTCGTTCAGGTCAAGCCGCACGAACTAATTCCCGAAGCTGAGCTGGAGGCTATTGCCGCCAGCTGCTCAGCATTGTTTGCGCAGTTGCATTTTTTGGCAACGCTATTTTTTAGGGGGTCTTCCAGGAGAATGTCCGGAAGGAAGCCGAGAAGGGGGTTGCGAAGAGTGACCTGAAAGACCTGGCCGCACAAAACTCAGCGCCTGCAATACGCACCAAGTTTTTTGATTTGATACGTGAGCGGTTTCTGAGGAATCTCTCAGAGCAGCCGTCATTGAGCGTGAGGGTGCTTCTCGTGGAACTGCTGCTGAGCCAGCGGCAGCTGCAGCAGAACCGGCTGCTGAGGAAGCAACCGAAGAGCCGGAAGAAGAAGAGCCGGTTGATGACAAGTGTGTGGATTGAGCCAATGGCTCAATCTTGCTGTGTGCGATGGCTTAAAGCCACCTCAGTGCGCTCCCAACCTTACCTGAACCTGGCTGGCCACTGGAGAAACAAATGCTGGCCTTGTTGCGCTAAAGGGGGAAGGGTGCAATCACTCGAAACTGTGCAGGCCACATGCTTACTGTCAAAACCACGTTCGTATTATATTATATTTCACATTGTGATTTGTTGGGCGCCCGTGTTCGCCGCAGTCTGTGGTCTGGACACCATAATACCGTTTTAAAAAAATATATTATAATATGTGATCTTGTGCGCTAAATGGTATTCCATGATATTCACTTTCCACACTTCCCACAGCCACTGCCATTGGAAGTATGACAAAATTTTCTTGGCTCAAGTTCCCATGAAGCCGTTTCGTCTTTAGTGAAAAGATGACCCTTTTGGCCGTGACTGTAGTGAAAAGAGGTGGGGAGTGCCTGTCTTAATGGGCCTTGAGGCAACTACAATAAGGCATGGGGTGGTAGCGGAGCCTGACTGACCATCATGATGCCAGACCCCTGGTTGCATTTCAAACCCCCGATTGAAAGGAAAATGACTTTAGCATTTTCCACCACTAACCAGCCTCCCAATAACCAGCCTCCCAAAAAGCTTCCACCAACAGCCTGCCAAAAGCTTTCCAGCCTCCCAAAAGCATCTGAAACCACCC